ACTCAATTTGCACTATTTCTGGCAGTCTGTAAAAGCCCATCATCTCAGAGGATACAGCAGATTGGCAACCCTATCCATTGAAAAACAGATAATCAAGTCTCAAGGGCATTCCAGACTTCAAATACAGGATAACTCTATTTCAAGAAAGAATGAAGGTTGTCATAAGGTTTGGTACAAAACAATAGGAGGTAAAGGTCAATCAGTTTCTTTCAAAGCCCAGGACAAGTTATGCATATCAAAATGCAGAATCTTTCTAAATCTGGATCCATCCTTACTTGGATAACACACACAGAAGAAACTCTTCTTTATTTTTTTCTTTGAGGGGGTATGCAAAATAGAGGTTAGGATAACTTGTGCAAAAAGCAAAAAGTAAGTACAATGATTCTTAAATACCCTAAAGGCAGCAGATCCTGTCTGATCTTGGGAGATTATCATATGAGGGATGGGACATCATCACCCATCCTTTCTGCTCTGATCCTGGGAAGGACTTTCACCCCTGACTTGGCACTGACCCAGCAGGGAGGTTCAAGTGGAAGTGATTGTACAAATCACTTTCACACCACAGCCAACTGAAAAGTGCTTTCAGCCATTAGCTGAAAGCACTTTCTCCTGTTTCTCTTGTCATTTTGTATTAACGGCTTAACCCGTTAATACCAGGATAGCTGAAAGTGCTTTTCAGCTGGCTGCAGTGTGAAAGTGATTTGCACAAACACTTTCACTCAGATCATGGACAGAATAAGGATGGAGGAGTGATCCCATCCCTATCCTGTCCCTCATGTGATAATCTTCTTGGAAGCTAAGCAGAGTCTGCCCTAGTTAGCACTTGGATGGGAGAACACCAACAAATATATGTCAGAGGAAGGTACTGGCAAAACTACCTCTGAGTACTCTTTGCCTAAGAAAATCCTATGAAATTCATGGGGTTGCCATAAGTCAACAGATGACTTGAACATGTGCATGCACACACAAATCCAAGCTCCTCTCTGAATCCAGAAAAGAAATTTCTGATAAAGGATGCTGCTCTCAATCATTTCATTCAGACACATGCTGATGTTACCCATCTTCCCACTCTTCAAATGGAAGATTTGATGCATCAGTGAGGGTTGGAGACACAGCAGCTTTAAGGGCTCCGTGCTGGTACTAATAGTCCATTTGGTATTGATTGCCTTCTTTAATTAGCAGTTTCCACCATCCCTAAAGGAGAAGGAAGCTCCTCCAAGTCAGAAGGGGGACCAGATGCTTCATGTCCCTTCTGGCAAATCTGGATTATCAAATGCTCCAGGGCCCTCAAGCATTGCTGGTGCTGGTGATGTGTGTGTGCCCTGTGATGCTGTTAAAGAAAGCAATGCTGCTGTGGAGAGGGCAGCTATAAATGTATCCTCATCTTCCACACTCATCTCCTCAAGGGTTAATAACATTTACCATCCACCCAGGCTCAATTGCTCATCTATGGAGTAAATGAAGAGGCAAGCAGATCGTTGAAGTTTCTGTCTTTCAGATTCTGGCCTTAGTCATGGCCAGGATGGAGATTCTGGCCTTAGTCATGGACTGCCCCCATCCTCAGGCCTGAAAGTCACTAGCTCTGACTCTCAGAAGGGCTTCTCATCACCCACCAATATCACCAAGTCTAATCTGCTGTGGCCAGACACCCCTCCAAGCAGTTTTACACAAGGAGACCAAGAAGGAGATGTTGCAGCTGTATCTTCTCTCATATAGAGATCCATCTGCAAAATCTCCTTAAAATGCATAACAAGGAAATGTATTCAACACTGCTTCTCTCTTAGCAGTCCTCTCCAGAAAAAAACAACAACCTCCAGCCATTAATTCAATAAAATAAATCCTCACAAAATACTAAACAGACCAATGAAGCCTAAATAGTATGTTGTTGGTTTACCTGCACCTTTTTCTTAACAAGATTTTATGCTATTTTTAGTAGCCAGATACTAATATGATGAGAAGCTTCATTAAGAAATTTGACAGGTATATATAATAATTCTAATGATAGCAATGGGCAAAGCAATGCAATGTTCCTGTTAGCTCTCCTGTCTTGGAAATTTGAAGAATTATGTCTGGTTTAGTAATGCAACACACAAATTAGATGGGAGGGAGGATTATATGCATGCATTCATGTACTTATTTTATTTAAAGCCCAAGACTTCAAGAACATGGTGGTGTACTTACAAAGTACAATTCTCAGGGGTCTTTGCAAACAAGTCCAAGGTAAATCAAAGCTCCAAAGGAAGTGGGTTTACACTATAAACATCAGTAGAAAACCCATAGAATGTAATTAAATTTGGGATACACTATTAAGAATTTATCTCCAACTGCACTAAAAAAGCAAGCAGGCAAAAGTTAAACTTGATGATAAGATATCTGGTTGATCTGGAAGAGATTCAAAAGAGTTTCTGACTCCCAAATGTTTAATAACAGAAGCGGTAATAATATTCCTCCCAGTCCAGGTTGAGGTCTAGGGACTCACAGTCTGGCGGCTCTTAAACAACCACCTTAAGAAAGGAGCAATGTCAGTCCTTTGGTCAGTATTGAGAGAGGGCATTTATAGCCAGCCGGTGGGCAGCTGGACATATATATGGTTACACATGTTTTTACTTTTAGTCTAAGAGTATTATCCTTTAAAAAGAAAAAAAAATCTTTTAAAAAAGAAAAAATGGTTGTCAAACAGGTATATTTTTGTTTCCCCTTTATTTCATTCTAACACATGAAGAATGCAGAAATAGTGTCAAAGTATGGAGTCATGCTGCTCACATGAAAATGCTCACGGGAGAGGTACCTGGGAATGGATTTTGTATGTGGAAGGATTATATGCATGCATATAATCTTACATTTAGTTTTTCTCCTCATAACAAATTCATGGATTCAGGTCTTTATTTCTCAGTATGATTCAGCTCACCCCTGAGTTAAAAATCTGATTTATTTATCTTTCATATTTTTAGGTCAATTCAGTACTCAGAATGAGGTTCAATCTTCCAAAATGTTCTTATGTTATCAATATGAATCAATAATTCTTCTTTGCAACCTCCACCCTGAATCATTTTCACTTATTTGCTCTTTAAAATGAACTGTTTATAATGAAGGGACCAGCTTGATCTCATGAGAGAGGGAAATTCATAGAGTATATGCCACAGGAAAGAAAATCCTTTCAGATTTGACTAAATCCATGGCAGAATGCCAAACAAAGCCTCTTGAGATAATCTTAATGAGTGAGGAAGTATATATGGGAGAAGCTGAAAACTACAACTCTTTGCTCAGTTACTCTGCAATAAGGCGTAAAATGCAGAGTGGGACTGATACCTGAAAAACATTCATAGGGGATGAAATAATGTAAAAGAAACTGTAAAGCTCATGGCTAATGCGGGGCTGGATTGGTTGATCCTTGGGGTCTCATATTCTTTGTTTAAAACTGTGCATTTACAAAGCAATTGTAAAAGGCTTTTAGTTTTGGCTTCACTGGAAAAGATAGCAAGGAATGTTGCTTTTGGGAAAAATGACCCTGAAGACAGGAAGACTGTTTCAGAGCCAAAGAGATAGGAAAAGGAATGGTTGTTGATGGGGGGAAGCAGACGAGAGCTTCCCAGACGCCCTGGGCCAGCGCGCTGCGGGGCCGCAGCCTCCGCACCTCGGCGCACCGGTGGCATCCCTGGAAGGAGCGCTAAATCCGTGCTCCTTCCTCAAGACAGGGAAAGTGCGCCCTAAAAGCGTTGGGCACACTTTCTCTGTCTTTTCTGCCGCAGCGCGTCCGATCGCTGCGGCGGGAGGTTGTCCCCGGAGCGCCGGCCATGCGGAGGGCCGGCGGCTCCGAGGACGACCTCAGGGAGAGGAAGGAGCGACGTGCGTGTGGCTGCTCCTCCTCTTCCTGACCTCGGAGACGGCTCAATTAGCCGTCTGCCGAGGCCCGATGTCAGCTAGTAAGACTGATGGTATGGACTGGAAGTAAAGGAAACTGGATAGGACCCAGTTAGTGAGTCCAGGTGTTGATAAGTGATGCCAAAATGGTTCATGCATGGCAAGTAGAGGTTTAATATGTAATCAACAGGGGTGGAGATTGAAACTATATCTTGTAACCAATGAAAATGTTGTATTATGCATATGTTAATGTAATTATAAACTAGCTGTGTAAGATGGTATATAAAGATGTTGATTAGCTGAGGGAAGGGCTCTCAAGTCATGGAGCTAACATGTCTGAGAGTCCATCGACATAAAAGTAAACTCTACTTTCTTGGATATTCTGAGAGTCTCTGTTCCTGTTTTGTCCATTACAAAATCAGCCTGCATTTATCTTTACAGTCTAATTTTAACAGTGAATGGGGGTGCAATCCTGCCAAAGTTAACCACTTTTTTCTCAGAATGGTCCAAAACGCACTGCAGAAATAATCCAGTTTGAGACCGCTTTAATGCCCTGGCTTGATGCTAGGGAATTCTGGAAATTGTAGGGGGGTT